AACCAAAGTCCCTACAATCATTATTGTGTGGACCATGGTCCACACAAGCTGTGTTTATCATATTTTGTATACTGTAAAATAATGTACATCCAGTACAAAATAATGTACTTTTAGTATTTTAAAAATGTACATTGTATTAAGACGATGTACATTATTTGTGTACTAAGTGTACATTATATTATATAATGTACATTCAGTACACAAATAATGTACATTTAGTATATTAAAAATGTACTTTTTATTATGATCCACATATCACTGTGTGGACCATAATTTGCCAAGCCCTTAAACTAGGCAAATTATTGTGTGAAACATGGTTCACACAGTGCTGTGTGGACCATATATAACAAAAAGTACATTTTTAATATACTAAAAATACATTATTTGTATACTGAATATACATGCATTATACAGAATAATGTACTTTTAGTATTCAAATAATGTATTTTTCTTGAATATATTGTACATTTTTAATATACTAAAAGTACATTATTCATATACTGAATATACATTATACAAAATAATGTACTTTCAGTATTCAAGTAATGTACTTTCCTAAAATAGGGTTTCACCAGAAAAAAGATATCAGAATGACCAAACAGTCCTAATGATGATAGTCTGGGTGTTAAATGACAAAAACGATAGTCTATGACTAAATTTGAAAAATTGCTACCAAAGACAATGTGTGTGTGTGAACCTGTAGACAAATACAAACCATTGATCTAGTAAATCTAATGGTTGAAAATAAACAAAACTTTGTTATATATATATATATATATATATATATATATATATATATATATATATATATATATATATATATATATATATATATATATCTACTATATACTAATAAGAGCCCAAGAGAGTTAGGCCTATAATGGGTAGAAAAAAATGGCGGTCACAGATTTTAATCAAATGAATGGCTCAGATTGATTAAAAGATTGATAAGATTTAAATTTTACACTAAAATTTCCTAAAATACCCACACACCGTTACTAATTCCGTTAAAATTTTAAGAATTGTCGTTAGTTCACCGTTAACTTACTCATTGATTTCAATAAAAAAAAAAAAAAAAAGTCTTAGGTTCGAACCTCATCCCAATCAAAGTTGGCATAATTAGTACTCTATTTTACTCTTATTAAATTATATAAATAATAATTTAGTAGCTACAACAAAAAATTATAGATATGCATTTCTTTAATTTAGAATTATGTGTCCACAATGCCTTTATTCAAAAACAAATTATTCATTATCAATAAATTAAATAAGAGAAATAATTGTATTAGTTATATTGTCTTTATTTTTCTACAATATAAAAATTCTTTTTATTCAAATTTATTAATTGATTATATTTGCTACATTGTCCTTACAATGTCTTAATTCAGTGAAAAAAAATTATTCATTATCAATAAATTAATTAAGAGAAATATTTTCATTAGTTATATTGTCTTTATTTTTCTCAAATGTAAAAATTTACATTCAAATTCATCAATTGATTATATTCACTACATTGTCTATTATCTTTGTGCACTATTTTTCTAATTAAATATCAAAGTTATAATACAAAATAATGCTATATATTTATTTACCAAGTATTTTATTATATACCATGAAAAAATTAAAAAAAATAATTAATAAAGCCAACCATATTAACTACTTGAGAGATTTTGTGACAAAGAGAGTATTCAAATCACACAACAAATTGAAGTGAGAACTACTTTGCAATGTCCTTGTTTGACAATCAGTAGTTAGCGGATTATATTAGCGAATTTGACCAACGAATTTATTTAATTATTAACATTGGGTAGAAAAAATGACCGTCAAATTATTAAATCAAATGAATGGTTCAAATTGTTCAGGTTTTAATTTTTTTTTAATGTTTTTTCTAATTTATCCTTAATTATATGATTATCCATTTAACTTTTCCGTTAAATACCGTTAATTCACCGTTAGTCTAATTTTAATATTAACGTCTAATATAGAATTACAATTACACCATTAATCTAATTCTAATATTAAAGTCTTAATAGAACTTAACCACAAATCCTAATGTCGAAATCTCCTCAAACAATATTACACTACTAGAAATTATGGAATTTCCGACCACCTGAAAATGATCTTAAATTAAGTTGATACTAAAAAGTCCAAAAAGTGGTCGGAAATAGCAACAAAGGTTTTTCCGGATACCAAAAGTGGTCGGAACAAAGTTTTCGACTTGATTTAAGATCACTTTCAGGTGGTCGGAAATTCCATAATTTCCAGTAGTGTTAGTATATATTTAATATTTTATGCCCTAATTTTTATTTGTTCTCCCTTATGTCCCGTATTTGGTTTCAACCATACCTATACAATTATTTTATGACAATTATAATCAATCTTGACTATATTATCTTGCATTTGTAAACTTAGAATTACCTATTTAACCCGCACGGGCTTAGCTCAATGGTTTAGTTTGGAGAAGAGACCAAGGTTTGAACCTCGGCGACGGCAGTGCGGGAATTATGTCCAAAGTGGGTAGATTCCTTGTTCGCACCGGCATTTGGTCCTGTCTGCTGAACCATTGAGTCACCGTGATTTACAACTTCCCACAATGCTCTGTCGGGTCGGAGTGTGGGGCCCTTGGGTTGGGGACTCAACCTTTGCGAGAAGAATTACCTATTTAAATACGCAAATTCAACCTTCAATTATCTATGCATGAACAATTTCAATATAATCTTGCCTTAATATACTTTAAAGTACTTATTTTAAAAAAAAAAAACATTGGGCATTATCCCAATAGCGCAATGCGCGTAAAAAACTAGTATATATATATATATATATATATATATATATATATATATATATGGGTGATCACATGTGGCCATGTTGTTAGGTGTGGTCATATGGTCAATTATAGGCCATTAGATTAGATAGATCCAATGAATCATATTAAACAAGATTTTTCCAGTATTTTCGCGCACATTCTCCTACCCACCGAACTGCAAGGGTAAACTCGTCGTAAAACACCGGAATAGAAAAAATCACATTGTTGTGTTTTATTACACTATTGGTGCATGTTGTCAACACTGTTGGTGTTATCTGGAACCCGGCCGCTATAAATGGCCACTGTAATTATCATAACACAAGAATACACCATTGGTGTGTTTCATTGTGGTGTGTTTTATTACACTATTGGTGTATGTTGTCAACACTGTTGGTGTATTCTGGAACCCGCCCGCTATAAATGGTCACTGTAATTACCATAACACCCTACTTACCAAAACACGCGAAAATCCTCAGAATTATAACTGCCGTTAGATTAAACTGATTCAACGACACAAATACAACCAAATCTAATGACATGACCACATATGAGTGATTTTCTATATATATATATATATATATATATATATATATATATATATATATAGGGCCGTCCCTGGGCATGACTACCCAGGGCACTTGCACAGAGCACCCAAAATTGGGGGCCCCAGATTAGAGAACATGTATATGCCTATACTATACAGCAGGCAGCGCACTGCCTGCTGTATAGTATGTGTATACATTAATTTTAATTTCTTTTTTAAACAATTGGCCCCAAATTTGGGGGCAATTGTAAAAAAAAAAAAAAAGAATTATATACATATATAATATATTATATGAGTTATATATATTGGTCATGTTTGGTAAGATAGTTAGCTTATCTATTAATTTTGGCTTATTTGATTATTTTTAACTATTTTACATGGTTAAAAAATTAATATAAGTGTTTGGTTAATCAGTTTTTTGTAACTCCAAAAGCTAAAATTTAAAAAGATGCTCAAAACTGGAAATGGCGCACCTTAAGTGATAGAAACACGCACCTTAAGTGTTAGATCTTAAGTACAAACTCACGCACATTAAGTACAAAACACACATACATTAAACACAATCTCACGCACATTAAGCACAAAATCCACGCACTTTAAATATTAACTCACAGACTTTAAGTTTCAAACAACTACTGACATTAAGCACAAACTCACGTACATTAAGTACAAAACTCACGCACATTAAGCACAACTCACGCACACATTAAGCACAAACCCCACGCACTTTAAGTATTAACTCACAAACCTTAAGTTTCAACAACTATTGACATTAATCACTAACTTCACACACATTAAGCACAAACCCTACGCACATGAAGCACAAACTCCACTCACATTAAGAACAAATCTCACGCATTTAAGCACAAAATTCCACACTTTAAGTTTTAACAACTACTCACGTTAAGCACAACCCCACGCATTAAGCACAAAACTCACGCACCTTACGCACAAACCTCACGCACTTATATACAAAACTCACGCACATTAATCACAGATCCGCTCACCTTAATTTTGACCTAGATGCAAAAATTACAAATTTGCCACCGAGTTTTTTTTTTTAATTTTGACAATCCTGAACGTTGATTTAAGCGAGATGAATGACCCAGATTAAACCGCAGAATCGCACCAGAACCTAATTATAATATATATATATATATATATATATATATATATATATATATATATATATATATATGAAAATGACCCCGCTCATTTTTTACTTGATTTCTCATCCATTAGATCTTGCAGATCAAAGATTTAATTAGATTTGTTCACAATGCCCTGGCCAAAAGATGTCGTTTTGTATCAGTTTCTTTTTTAGAAATTTCGTTTTCCGCCGTTAACTTTTAAAAAATATATAAAAAAAATCTCATATTTCGAATGTACAGAATTATATAGTAGAATACACAAACTCATAAAAAAAATACACATAATCTAACATAATACATAATACACATAAGTTCTTAATATAATACACATAAATTCTTAACATAATGCACATAAAATCTTAACATAAAAAAAACGAAGTTGTTTTAGGCCGGGCACATGCATTGTGCAATATATAACTATTGTACCGTCTCCTTCACAAATTGTTGATATCTTGATAGAAATATTTATTGAAATCTTGAATGTGATCAACTTGCAAACATGCAGCAACCAGCAATGACCCATCGTCCCATCAATTCCGTTTGGACCTGGAAGGATCAAAACGTCCCCATCACAGTCATGATTTCCAGGGCTCATATGAATCTCTTCCCCCCACCCAAAATCGAGTCCCTGAATCGGAAGACCCACCCAGCTTATAACGCTCAGATTTGGATTCCCACCAAACAAGACTCCTAATAATTCTTGCCTCTTAATCACATCCACTTCATTTCTATAAAAATCTATTGAAGAGTTCACGTACTCCGAGGTTACACCATCGATTGCCTCACGTATTTTAGAAGCCACGTCTTGTAGTGGCCCGGAGATAATCTCCCCGAGACGCCGCCATGGATCACCACGTCAACGACCGCATTACCGAAATACGAATCTGGCAATGGAGGCTCCATTCGCCTGCGGATATCGACAGAGAAGCATAAATTCGTGGGCTGTTGGGGTTTATGGCTTCGCGCTTTGCATGCGCACCTCCATATGTGGGCGGTTATCACCTCGTACCTGAATTCAAATAAATCCAATAAGAATATGAATTCCAATATATATATAGTGAAATTTGAATGGAATAGAAAATATGATATTTGACTGGATTCCATCCGTATACACCCCTACTCGTACCTGGTATAGTCTCGCGGTTTGGCATTATAACTCCGACCATTGTTGGCGGCAGCTTTTAGTGCATGAATCTGTGGTTTACTTAATCTCAGCGTGGATACTTTGGTTTCCTTCATCCTCTCGCTTTCGTCGCTGGACTGGCCAACGATAAGCGGAGGAGAATGATCGAAAACCCGACGAGGACCTCCCTGTGGAGAAGATGATTCTCCTACCCCGCGGAGAAGTCTCCTCCGGTCATGAAAAGGGGCGGAGCTCAATGGTTTCCCGGAGGCAAGATTAGCCCACTCCGACAGAAAATGGCAGAGACCATGTCCGTCAGCCACAACGTGAGATATCGCAAACCCAAGGCTAATTCCTCCGCATCTGAACTTAGTGAGCTGCCCACGAACAAGGGAATATCCTGGATAGGATCACCGCTGTAGTCTACGCTAGGAACCAGGTGGTTTAACTCGGGGCAGGCGAGAAGTCCCCGAGATCGGCCAACACGGCGTCGGATTCCGCCTCTACGAGGACGACGCCAGCGGCATTGCAGTTAAGCACGAGGCTGAGCTGCCGCCGGCACTAGTCCAGCTCAGGCGACCGCCAAGGGGTAAAAATGCACCAGGACTTGGCTGAGAGAGAGTCGCAAGGTATCGATAATGGCGTCTGGGATAATGTGGAAGGAGTAGAGTAGAAATAGAGGTTTCAACATGCATCATGGTTGCGATCTGATCAAGCTCCGATAAGGAGAGAAGGCCACTCCATGTTGGCTCTGATGGTTTAACTACGTAAGACCTCTTAACATTCACCTTCATTATATTTTTGCTTTCTTTTCAATATAATCTTTTTCTTCTTCTTCTTCTTTTTTCTACTTGGATAATTCTTGGTTGTATACTTGTATTTAAAGGCAATAGTTATGCACTTATGCCATGGACCCGGGTCCACCTTGCAAGGCGGATCCGGATCAAAATACACAATTTATATACTGAATATTCACAATTTAAATTGTGAATATTCAGTGTGTAAATTGTGTATTTTTAGACACGGTTCCATCTTGCAAGGAGGACCCAAGTCTATCGAATAATTTGTCATTCTACCAACTCTATTACATTATAGTATGCATAAAGAGTTAACATTACTTCAGTGAGGCTCAATCTCATAACCTTCCATCTGAAAGAGTCACTACATGTCATTTGAGCAAAATATGTTTGGCTAGCTATTAGAGTGTTAAAAGTAATTAAAGTGGATGTATGCGCATGTACAATATTTGCAGCTCATTTGAAAGGCTTATTATCCCAAAATAAATAAATGAGTAAATCGCAAAAATTTTATACATTGAGGCAATAATATTTAAAAAAGGTAACTGACGTGCGCAACTACAATACTTGCGGCTCATTTGAAAAGGCTTTTATCCATAAATTTAGTGTTAACTTGTTCATTATTTTTTTTTTTTCGACACTCATAAATTCTTTCCAAATGTGTCCCTCTTTTTCTTTTTCTCCCTAAGTTGTTCACATCATTAAATAATGCGGCTAAATATAAAAACTTATACATTGTGTTTACTTTAACGTATATTTATAAATTATTTCTAATTTTATATAATTTTTAATTATACAAAACTTATTAATTATTTATATTATCTGTTATAATTTTTCTCATAATATTTATAAGATCATATAATTTTACATTTATTTTGATTATATAATTTTCACTATTATTTTTATTCATCATTGAGTTTTTTTTAATCGCATATTGCAAGTTTTAATAACTAGTATTGATATGCCAAGTATTTTGTGTTCAAATGGCACCTCTGTGACTCCCATTGAGGGAAGGTCACAGGATTGAACCCCAACCTTAGGGTGTAAACAAATAATTAAGTTACGTATTTTGAATTCGAATATTCGAGTCAATCGAATACGAATCAAATTTGAGATTTGAATATTCGAACATATATATAGTCGAATTTGAATCGAATCGATAGAGTCATGAAACTCAATTGTTTTAGTTAGGGGTGTTACCGAATAAAGTTTTTGATAAACTACTCGTATTCATGTTTGGTAAGTGTTCGTTTATGTTCATGTATTAAGGTGAACAAACATAAATAGGCAAATTTTAGAACTCGTTTAATAAAGGAACATAGTCTGAACATTTGTATGTCCGTTTGCTAAGAGCTCATAAACTCGTTCGTTAGTTTCCGTTTAATAATGTTCATGAACATACTCGTTTAGTGTTCGTTTAAGATTGTTCACGACCAGACTCATTTAATTTCAATTTCTAAATTTTAAGATACTACTTTAAATTTTCCTAATTTCTTTTTAATTTTAATTACATTTTTCCTACCACTCCAACGTTCCGGAAAAAGATGGAAAAAACCAACGAAACGGAGAGAACCCTAGAGAGATAATTTTTTTTATTATCTGTTTAAACGGAGACTTTGGGCTATTTATCTTATAAATTTGAGATATTTAATTGTTTTAGTTTAATATATTCGTTAATTGTTGAATGAGTTAATTATCAAAATGGTCCCTTCACTATAGTAAAATTATCAATTTGATTCTTGACTTTTTTTTTGACCAATTAAGTCCTCAACTTTAAAATTGTTGACTAATTTGGTCATTCGTTAGTTTTGGCGTTAGATTTTCATTAACTTGGGACCAAATTGGTAATTTTTCTATAATCAAGGACCATTTCAGTAATTAACTTTAGGTGTGGACAATTCGGTTCGATTTTCCCGAACCAAACAGTACCGAACATTAATTAACCATACCGAACTATTTGATTAAAAACTGATTGAAAATATATATATCGTTTAATTTATTTAAAATTTAAAATATAATAAAATAATAAAATAATAATAATAATAATAATAATAATAATAATAATAATAATAAAATAATAATAATAATAATAATAATAAACAAGAAATAAATCAAAGTCCTTGATACCTCCTTTACGTTCAACCGAACCGTATTTCCTTTATTATTATTGATAGTTCGTCTCCAACTTTCTTTGTACACCTGCGTTCAAGGGCCGCACATGTGAGTTTGCAGAACAGAAGTCACCATAGGACCTAGAATTGGATAGTGTCCATTTCTTGGTTTCTGTTCCAATGAATTGTATATTCGTACTACAATTGTATATTAAAATATGGTAATACAATTCCTAATATAATATATTCTTTCATACTTTTTCATTCTTAATACAATTCTAGATTAAAATTACTAATCTTAATAATAATAATAATCTATACTATTAATAAAAGTAAAATCATCATCTTCAACTTCCCCGTTCAAACTAATATGAATATTAATTAATTCGTAAAAAAATTAATAAATCTTAATTGGTAACAAAATTTTATATGGAAATTAATTAATATCTAATTAATTGTTTCTATACTATATATAAAAACAAAATCCTCAATTTAACTTCCCACCCAAAAGACTCATATACAATTGAGGTTTACACAATATTGTAAAAATATGGTAATACAATTCCCATTCATACAACAATTGTACATTAAAATATGGTAATACAATTCCTAATATAAAATATTCTTTCATACTTTCTATTACTAATACAATTCTAGATTAAAATTACTAATCTTAATAATAATAATCTATACTTTTTTGAAGGTCAACCAATGCGGTTGTATTTATAGATAAAACTGAAATAGAGTCAGGTGGGACGTCGTCCCAGTACATAGCCATAGTAGAATTAAAAGCTGTAGTAGCTAAAGTATGCGCTAGTAAATTCTGTAATCTAGGAATAAAAGTGACTGAGCAAGAACTAAAAGCAGACATGTAAATTCTGCAACTATTGATAACATTACTAATATATGATCGAGACGGGGTGTCTGGTGCGGATAGGTAAACACATAACGTTTGACAATCCGTGTGTAGCTGTATAGACTCTTCTCCACGCGCCCTTAACCATGACAAGGCCTCTTTGTATGCAAACGTCTCGGCCATAAAAGGGAGAAGCAACTTAGGAGGGGCGCTGAAGCCCGAAATGTAGCGATTGTCTGCATCGAGGAGGACTGCTCCGACCGTAGCCAAATTCGTCCCATGATAATAATCTGCATCTATATAACATTTTCTCGGCCTTGTTAGCACTTTGTGGGGCTGTCCAGGTTGCAGCAACGGTGGAAGCGATGCTGCTCGCAGCGTACTAGCGTAGGCATGCGGGTACGTGACAACTAGCTTAGCAACTAGGCACTAGATGACTAGAAAATTAATAAAAAGCTAAACACTCAACATTGCAAAGGCAACAAAAAATCAACAAAATGGAACAAACACGTACATATTGACAAGAGGATAACATAAAATAAAGTAAATAGGATTCAAGCTAACACAACCAAAGTATTTGAGAAAAATCACAGAACCAATGGATTGAGAGGACGTAGGAATTCTAATAAGAAAGTCACTATCGTAATCATCTAAATCAAAATTAGGACTAGGAATTTCCCAACTTCAATTTCAAGTCTTTCAAATAAACAAAGCATCGAGATCTCTCTATTTATCATATTCTCATAGTAGAACATAAGGATTATGTAATGAGTGCCATAGAATCTTGACTTAGCTAATTCGTTGTGGTCAAAATTATTTCAAAAACATGCTAATGAATGTCATGAATCAAACATGACCAATATTAAATCACAAATCCATTTTAATCTCAAGAACCCTAGATAGACAAGAATCTCCTTTATGCAATACTCAATACACCAAGCATAGAACCAAAGTCCCTACAATCATTATTGTGTGGACCATGGTCCACACAAGCTGTGTTTATCATATTTTGTATACTGTAAAATAATGTACATCCAGTACAAAATAATGTACTTT